AAGGAAGGAAGAAATTAGTTTTTTAGAATTAAGTTGCTATTTTATTTACTGGTTCCTTCCCCTGAGGTGCCACCAAGTGACATGAAAAGCCTAGAGACAGTTTACCAGGGAGAGGCTCCTGCCACAGGTGAGGGGTGAGAGGACAAGAGGAAGCTCACATAGGGAGGCCACATGTCACTTCTTGGTATTTTTGGCTGCAGTTTTGGTTGTGCTAAGGGACCCAACCAGAGAGGCTTTGGGGGCTGCTGCTGCTGGGGCCCCCTTCCTTGCCTGGACAGAGCTTGGCTGGGCCCTGGGAACCAGAGTGCAYGGTTTCTTGGTGGGAGATGAGGCTTGGAGTGAAGAGGCAGCCTCAGGGGGTGACTCCTTCCCTTGCTCTGGAGTGACAGAAGGGCTGCTCTCCCCAGCCTCGGGTACCCCGTGCTGCAGGGGCAGCTCAGTAAGGGTGGGTTGGATCTCCATCCTCAGAAGGTGCTCTGTCAGGGCCTCCTGCTGCCTGCGCTCCTGGTGTCTGCTCAGCTGCTCCAGCTCCTTGAGGAAGCCTGGGAGGGGCCAGGTTGGTGGCTGGAGCCTAGGGCTCAGCAGGAGGGCCCTCTGGGTTCTGGAAGGTCTCTGGGTGATCCTGCACCACACATCCTTAGTAGGGAGGAGCCCAAGGCTGACAATGGGGAGGAGTGAGTCCTCTGCATGCCCAGGACAAGGACCTGGCCTGGCTGCACTTTCTACCACCCATGGCCCAGATGCTGATTGGGATTGAGGCCACTCCCCAGAYACCACCGCCCTCTTAGCTTCCTCCAGACCCCATAGGTTGGGCTCTGGGGAGGCTGCAAGCCATGGAAAACAGTGTCACCTCGCTCTGAACAGAATGGGCCACTCAGCTCCGGGAACTCATCGTCACCATCAGAGGCTTTGTCCTCCTCATCTGAGGCCCAGCGCTCCGACACAGGCTGCCCATCCAGGTCCAGGAGCAGTGGTAGGGCTCCTAGCACCATCTCCCTGCAAGGCAGTAAGAGCAGAGRCTACTGAGGAAGGCATCCTTGGTGTGGAACCTGGGAGGACACAAGGACACATGTCACAGCATCCACACCTGGACAGGTAGCAGCTCATGGTCTAGCAGTGGGGCCTCAGGTCAGCCCCAAAGAGCTAAGGGCTGGCTCCTGTKCAGCATGGGAACGAAATGGGAAAGGAGCAAACTTGAACTGTTGGGCTGGAGGAGCAGGGGCCATGGGCAATGCCAGGTTTGCAGGCTGGGAAGGAGCCCTTGTGGAGTTAGTAGGTGGAACTTAACCAGGACCTTGTTCCTCCCTCCCTCAGTCCCTCACCTGTAGCACTTTTGCTTGGTGCAGCTGTTGCCAGTCAGGTTGAGGATGAGGAGGCTCTGGGGGAGCTCATCTGCACATGGAGAGACACAGGGATTGAGGCTCTCATACCAACTCTGCACCCTCCGAGGATGAAGTGTATGTGCAGGATTGTGTTGAGCACAAGCACAGRGAGGTGGCGGAGGAGGGCAGAAAGRGAGGTCCCCACACAGGACATGTGCCATGAGCCAGGGCTAGGGTGTTCCTACCCGGCTTCAGCGTTTCTATCAGGTTCTCAGAGAGGTCCAGAAACTGGAGGTATGGGAGGTYGAGGAGGTTTTCCACGTGCCTGATTCTGTTTCCTGCTAGAGACAGGAAACTAGGGAAGGAAGGGTGGGAGGCAGAGACAGGACTGTTGAGAAAGAGAGGAAGACACCAGACACCTGGGCCCCCTGTCAGGCAGYTGGATGACTAGTGGGGACACCTGGCCTATGGGAGTAGAGGAAGCAGAGCAAGGCTTGGAAAGAGMTGATCAAGGCTGATCAAGAGCCAGGCTTGGAAAGCTCTGAGCAGGTTCTTGGGGTATTGCCGTGTTTCCCCTCCCACTCCTTACTCCTTCCCCCACCTGAGCCTTGTTGCCACATACCGCAAGGAGGGGATGCAAGCCAGGTTCTCAATTCGCTGGATCTTATTCTGCAGRAAGAAACCAAAGTGGGGGAAACCAAGCTGTCAGTTGGGTGGGGAGCCCTGTAAGGGGACAAAGCCCCAGTACCACAGCTGCACTTAAAGCTGGAGATGTTGCACTTTGGGAACAACCCCACTCCTGACTGGTTGTCRCTATCTTTGGGAGATGATTGGCTTTCTTTGGATGGATGGTTAAAAGTATAAACTTGGGGCTGGATAAACTGGTTTGAAGTACCCTTTTCTGACCCCACAGCCAAAGAGGGACCTTGGAATCAGGGAAGGAAACCAAGGGCCACTAGAAAAATGGAAAAAAGCCTTGGTGGTGACTTGCATGCCAAAAGGGGAAAATGAGCACATATTCATTTGATTTGGGCTGGGGATGTGGCTCAAGAGGTAGCGCGCTCGCCTGGCATGTGTGCGGCCCCGGTTCGATCCTCAGCACCACATACAAACAAAGATATTGTGTCCGGCGAAAACTAAAATAAATAAATAAATATTAAAAAATTTTTAAAAAATCATTTGATTTGAAGACTTTCTGTGGGGAAACTGAAAGGGAGCTGGGAATATGAAGGYTGRGGGAGTCTGAAGACCACCACCAATGTCTAGCAGCCTTCAAGGATCCAAAAGGTGTASAGGAATCTTCAATTTTCTTCTTCTTCAAAACAGGAATGGGCTTGGGCTGTATAATATGAAAAGTCTAGGGCAGATACCAAGAAGAACTAGACCAAAAGAAGTGTCTGATTAAGGAGCATGTTCAAGATCTCTTTCAGAGGGATCAGTCTTTCAACTGAGGAGAATTCCTGATTTATTTGGGAATGATTTAAACATAGACCTATTTGTCCAAACATCAAAGAAGGCACAAGATGACCTGTTTGGATGCTTTTGGATTAGACAGACCTAGTCCACAAGGGCAGGGGAAAGGAAGAGCAAGGGGCAAGAGTTACCGCTTGTAGATAAAGACTGTGAAGATTCTGGAGACTCTCTAAGTTCTTGATAGTGGTAATCCCCTCCCGGTCCAGGCGGACAATCTGCAGCTCAGCAAGGGTGTGAAACCTGGGAGAAGATTGGGTGGAGTGGTGTGACAAAGCTCACCTCTATGGTTTCAGCAGGAGAGATGGGAGGGAGGACAAGGAGAAGAGATGTTTTGAGGAGGGGTAGATGGCTGAGTGACTCTCATCATTGTCAAGAACAGCTTCTTGACCCATGAAGTGATGTCCAGGTCATGAAGCTGGCTTGCCTAGGAGACCTCTATCTCTGTTGACGGCACTGGGGAGAATCAGACGGAGAGAGTAGAGGCCCTTTGGGAAACTGAGTGAAATCCATTCATGATTCCTGGAGAGATTTGGAGGCCAGAAATTCTTTCTTGGGCCAGCCTGGATGGTAGGTGGGGCAGTAATGACAGCATCTATGCAGGAAGATTCTTCCTCATTCTACCTTTTGAGTGGTCCATGGAGTGGAAAGTCACCCATTCCATCCATGAATTCATTCATTAATTCCACAACATTTACTGGGTTCCAACTAGAGATAAATGACAGAGTCTCTGCCCATCACTCTTAGGGAAGTCTTCAGACTCCCCCAGCCTTCATCTATGACAAGTGGGTGACAGAGCCAGGTACAAGGGTCTCTGGCAGCTGTGCACCAGGTCCGGAATAAGGGGATCCAGAATTGCTTTCTAGAGGAAGTGACAGATGAGTAGGAGTTAGCTACAAAGCTGGGAGGGAGACAGGGAGAAGGCATTTCAAGCAGAATGAACAGTACATGTGTATGCTAATTCAGCCCTTCTCAAACTTTAATAGGCCCACCAATCCCTTGGGATCATTAAAATGCAGATTCTTATTCAGTAGTTCTGCGGTGAGCCTCAGATTTTTTTATTTCTCACGAACTCCTAGATGAATGCCAATGTTGCTGCCCCCAACACCTTTGAGTAACAAGGTGCTAAGGTGTGAGAACACACTAATGGAGAGTTGTTGGAAATAGGCTGAAGAGAACAGAGGCCAACTCATTTTAAGGCATTTGGAGTTTATTGTGGCGAAATAGGGAGCTGAGGAAGTTTCTATTACAGAGTACCTGATCAGATTTGTTATTTAAAAGGATTGCTTTAGGGCTGGGGATGTGGCTCAAGTGGTAGCGCAATGGCCTGGCATGCATGTGGCCCGGGTTCGATCCTCAGCACCACATACAAACAAAGATGTTGTGTCTGCCGAAAACTAAAAAATAAATATTAAAAGAAATTCTCTCTCTTTAAAAAAAAAAAGGATTGCTTTAAATAAATAATGTAGCTCAAGCGGTAGAGCGCTCGCCTGGCATGCACAGGGCGCTGGGTTTGATCCTCAGCACCACATAAAAAATAAAAATAAAAAAAATAAAGATGTTGTGTCCACTGAAAACTGAAAAAAAATTTAAAAAAGGATTGCTTTAAGCCATACAGTACTATACACCTGTAATTCCAGCAATTTGGGATTTTGACGTAGAAGAACCACAAGTTCTAGGCCAGCCTTGGCAATTTAGCAAAACTTTAATAAAGTGCCCTGGGTTCAATCTCAGTATTAAATAAATAAATAAAAAGATTTCTGAGAAGGGATGACAGTCTTATCTAAGGCAGCTGGGTGAGGACGCTGGAAAGCAGATTTTTTTTTTTTTTTTTTTTTTTGCACTGGGAATTAAATCCAGAGGCCAGAGGTGCTGAACTACATACCCAGTCTTTTTTATTTTTTTATTTTGAGACAGGGTCTCTCTAAGTTGCTGAGGCAGATATTGAACTTGCAGTCCTCCTGCTTCAGTTTCCTGAGTTACTGAGACTACTGCACCACTGTGCCTGACTGAAAGGAACGATTTTTAAAAAAAAAATTTTTTTAGTTGAAGTTGGATACAACATCTTTATTTTATTCATTWATTTTTATGCAGTGCTGAGGCTCGAACCCAGCACCTCGGATGTGCTAAGCAAGCACTCTATCGCTGAGCCACAGCCACAGCCTCTAAAAGGAACAATTTTTAAGGAGGGAAAATCATTGGACACGATCACTGATTGGAGTGGGAGTAAGTAAAGAAACAAGGATGCGTGGACAAATCTGTAGGGTTCAGCGAACCGGTCACTACGTGCACGCCCCCCCCCACCCCCGCACTCACATCTTCTCTGACAGATCTTCATCCTCAGGGTAGGTCAAGTTCCGCTCAGTAATAAGGGCCTCAGTAATGTAGACATCCTTTTCCTCTGGACTCTGGGCAAGTTTAGCTGTGAAAACATGAGTCCAATTGTCATCTTTCTTCTTTCTTGGAGGCTGACCCTACCGTTGTCCAACTGTTCTACTTACCAACCCACTTCCCTACTTACCCCCAGGCATGATGTAAAATAGACAGCTGCTAGCTTGAGGCGAGAGAGGAACGAAGAAGAGCGGAGAAGTTCCTAAGGATGGACTGTTCTTAAGGATGGCCAAACCGAGAATGGCGGGTGAGAGAGAATCCTAGACTTGGGAGACAGTGGAAAGGGGTTGACTCAGAACAACTTGTTAGGGATGTAGTCGAAGACAAGTAAATAGGGGTGAAGGGTCTGGAGTTTGTGGGGGTGTGGAAAGACTTTGCTGGCAGCAAATTGGGCGGTTGTGGGTAGGAGGGATGAGAAAGGGGCGGTTTCCTAGAGTTCGTATCGTTGCTAGGATACCGGACGCCAGCTAGAGAGGAAGTGGGGAAGTGAGGGTGCCTCTCTGCGCATGCGGATTACGGCTCTATCCGGAAGATTTGCCCACCACTTCCGACCCCAGGGTTCGCTGGCCCATAATCCTTAGCTTCTTCCGGCTCCGTACCAATTCTGTCTGTTTTTCCGGTGGCGATGGCTGCGGCCGCAGCTGGAATGCTGCGAGGGGGTCTCCTGCCCCAGGCGGGTAAGGAGCGGCCCGTAAGATCTCACTGCGTATTTGGCCAGCGCTCTCTAATCCTCGTCTCCCCTCCTCTACTTCTGACACTTCCGGTTGTCTCTGACTCTAGAGATGTCCCGGTGATCCCTGACACCAGCTAGATCGCGGGTCTTATCCCATCTAATTCCCTGTGACTCTAGATTATCATAGCAACGATGTCACCAACAAAAGCATTTATTCCTTACGTCCCGATCCCCCTGCCTTGGGTTTCTTTACCCCACCACTTAGCTCTCGCCCCTGGTTGCACCAGTCTTTGCCCGAACTTTTGCCTTATGCCTCTTTTTGAAGCTCTAAGCCTGATTGTCTCTTCCTCAAGTTTTCCCTCTGACCTCTGTAAAGCAGGTTTCTTCAGTTAATTGTGTATCTTGTACCCTGTTTACTGACCCCCTCGTCCCATTATAGCCTGTAATTTTACTTTTACTTATTCGTTTATCTCCTGGGTTAAGCTCTGAAAGGACAGAATCATTTATACAGCGTAGCCAGCRGGCAGCATGGTTTCTGACCTTAGTGGCATGCAGCAGATAATTGTTTAATGAATTAATTAGAGCATTTATAGGCCAGGAACTGTGATAAATGTTTTACACATATTATCCCATTTAGATCTTGAAGCATCCTGTAAGGAAAGGATTACCATCTGCCCTTTACAGATGAGGAAACAAGTTTTGGACCAGTTTAGTGACTGGGCAAGGTCACACTTAGTAAGTGGCTGAAAAAATATTAAAATTCAGTTTCATCCGATTCCAAAGCCACTTATAACAATTAGATTTTGTGGCCACTGGCAATAAACTTCTAGCCCCAGCAGGTCTCCATGCTGTCTGTCAGAGCTACCTTCTAGCAGACCCTTTTTCTGAGGTCCCATCTCAGCCTTGGGAGGGGCTGAAATTGGGAAACATTAGGCTTGGCCCTTGTGTTGAGGATGAAGGGGTCACTTTAGCTCAGGGCTTTAAGTGTCTCTTTGTTTTCTGAGGGGTGCTCTCAAGCATTGCCTGTCAACAAGAAGAGAGAAGGGAAGAGAGATGTGGAAGAGTAGCATAATGGTCAGGTAGCATACTGGTCATAAATGTGTGCCCACCCTCACAGGCAGTGTTTGAGCATGGTTTTCAAACTTGAGCATGCATCAGAATCACCAGGAGAACTTATTATTTTTTTTTGGTGGTACTGGGAATTAAACTCTGGGCCTTTCCTGTGCTAGAAAAACTTTCTACTACAGAGCTATATCTCAAGCCCCCACCAGGAGGATTTTACTAATACACTTTGCTAAGCCCTACCCCAGAGTTTGTGATTCAATAGGTCTAGGGAAGGTATTTCTAACAAATTACTGGAGGATGCTGATGTTGATGGCTGAGTGAGGGTAGGTTATACTTCAAAAACCACTGACTTGGACCAGGGGTTGGCATATCATGGCRAGGCTAGTCACTGAGGTTTTTTATTTTTGTTTTGTTTTGTGGTGCTGGAGATTAAACTTGGGAGTATGTTAGGCAAGTATTCTACCACTGAACTGTAACTCCAGCCCCTGGTCACTGTATTTTATAAATAAAGTTTTATTGGAGCAAACCTTATCTGTTTTTTACATAAATGTCCATGGTCACATTTTGGCATAGTTGAATATAAGTGACAGATAGTACAGCCCCCAAATCTAAAATATTTACTATTTGTCCATTTAGGAAAAGGTTTGCTGAGCCTTTTCCCCCTTTAATGTGTTTGGAATATTTTCTCCTTTGTTCTCATTTTTTATCCCAATTCTGCATAAAAAGCAAGCTGGAGAAATGGGAGCCTCAAAACATCAAGCTCTAAAAAAGAGAAGGTTTGGGATTTCAGGATTTCTGGCAGGCACTTCCTTGTCTATCTCTGTGAGCCATGTTGTGTCTGTCTAGAGGGTGTGCTTTTGCTCCATTTGGGCAAACTAGGGCCTCCAAAAGATTGTATTTCACTGTGTTACCATCTCCTCCCTCAGGCCGGCTGCCCACCCTCCAGACTGTCCGCTATGGCTCAAAGGCCGTAACCCGCCACCGTCGTGTGATGCACTTTGAACGTCAGAAGCTGATGGCTGTGACTGAGTATATTCCCCCCAAACCTGCCATCAACCCAAGGTGCCTGCCACCTCCCCCCAGCCCTCCCAAGGAGGTAAGGAGGAGACTGCATGCACATCACTTGGTGGTGGGATAGTGGATTAAAATTATTTTTTCTCTCATAGTGAGTGGGACTCCAAACCACAGTCACTCATATCATTGTTTCATTTCTACTTGATCCTGTGGCCCAGGTACTTTAAGATGAAATCTGCACTTGATTCTACATTTGCCTGTGGGTTCTATGGATTAGATGGCCTCCTGGATTTCCTTCATTCTGTTCTTGTCTCTAAAAATGTGTGTGGGGGGGCTGGGGTTGTGGTTCAGTGGTAGAGTGCTTGCCTAGCATGTGTGAGGCACTGGGTTTGCTTCTCAGCACCACATGAAAATGAATAAATAAAATAATGGCATTTAAAAAATGCATGTGAAAGCTACCTGGGCAGGTGGGGGGAGGGGAGAGGTCTCTGCTATTTTTGTGTTTTTTGTTTTCTGTTTTTTTGCAATGTTAGGGATCAAACCTAGGGACTTGTGCATGCTAAGCAAGCACCCTACCACTAAGTGACACCCCAATCCTCTCCTGTCTTAAAAGGAGTTGACGCTTCCATGTTTTCCTAAAGAAATGAGAGAATCATTCTGTCCTTAAAAAAAACAGGAAGACTAGTGGAGTTTTGTATCTTTTAAATTTTTTTTTAAAATTTATCTTTATCCTGTTTGCCTTTATCCTATTCATTTATTTATATGAGAATCGATCCCAGTGCCTCACACATGCTAGGCAAGTGTTCTACCACTGAGCCACAACCCCAGCCCTGGGAATTTGTATCTTTTTAGTGGCTTTTGTTTTGTATACCTAATAAATTCTAGTATTCTAGTTGTCTGCTGCTTCTTAAGGATTAGGTAGCTGTCTTCTCTTGCAGGAGAGAAGGACATCAGCAACTGCAGCCTGAGGGAGTTAGGTCAGATGGAAGAGATGCTCTGAGTCATTGAGCAGCTTCCTCAAAGGTGAATGAGAAGACAACCTAGCATCTGGGTTTTTGCCTGTGAAAACAAAGAGAACTCTGAAATGGCCCTGTAGGGTCAGCCCATGGAGCATTGCTTGGCAAACCACACTTTAGTGACTGGGCCTCTTCCATCAGTACTTAGGAAATTTTTGTTTGGTTTTGCATCTTTAAAAAAAAAAGCAAACTTAAATATTACTCGACCTTTATTTTTTTGTTTTGCTTTTTTGAGATGAGATCTCACTATGTACCATGTTCTCCAGACTGATCTTATTTATTTATTTATTTATTTATTTATTTATTTATTTTAGTTGTCAATGGACCTTTATTTTATTTATTTATATGTGGTGCTGAGAATTGAACCCAGTGCCTCATGAGTGCTAGGCAAGTGTGCTACCACTGAGCTACAACCCAGCCCTCCAGACTGATCTTGAATTCATGAGCTCTAGTGATCCTCCTGCCTCAACCTCCCAAGTAGCTGGGGCTATAGGCATGTGCTGCCACACCTGGGTCAATCCAGTTAAAGTCTATTCACAGCATTTCCCTCTCAGTTCAGTCAAATTGTATGGAATTTTTCTTCCATACTTTTTTCTTAGGCCATTTGGGCATGCTACTTCTTAACTGTAGAAGAATCTAAAATAGCACATGCAATAGAACTTTGTGGAATGAAGGAGATGTTCTATATCTGCACTGTCCAATATGGTAGCCACTTGCCACTTGTGACTACTGAGCATTTGAAATAAAGCTAGTGTGACTGAGTAACTGATTCTTAATTGTGTTTGATTTTAATTACTTTAAATATAAATAGCCACATTTGCCTTAGTGGCTACTATATCAAACACGGCAGGACTGGAACCTACATTTAGTAYAATATTGTATTTTTTTCACGGAATTCTGCAAAAAGCACATGACTTCTAGGTTGTCCACTTTTTAAATATATTTTATTATTTTCAATTTTTTTTAATGTTTTTTGTGGTGCTGAATCAAACCCAGGGCTTTGAGAATACTAGACAAGCACTTTGCTACCAAGGTACATCCCCAGCTAAATAAATTTTAGATTCTTTGCTTTAGGGAAATAGAAAATCTTAAACAGTGTTGTAGAGATATGTAAGTGTATTCTTAGGTCCTGAGGTTCTCAATTTTGAGAAACATTTTCTTAAGAAAATTAAGTTTTGGGCTGGGGTTGTGGCTCAAGCGGTAGCGCGCTCGCCTGGCATGCATGCGGCCTGGGTTCGATCCTCAGCACCACATACAAACAAAGATGTTGCGTCTGCTGAAAACTAAAAAATAAATATTAAAATTCTCTCTCTCTCTCTCTCTCTCTTTAAAAAAAATGAAAATTAAGTTTTGTTCTGTGAAAAATGTTTTGTCTCACATTTAAACTAACAGTGCAAAAGTTGTGTTGTATTTTTCTTTCTTTCTTTTTTTTTTC